ACCGCTTCCCACAGCTCCCATTGGCCAGGAATGGTGATCCGCAGCCAATGGGAGCTGCGATGGCCGGTGTCTGTGGCTGGGCAGGTGAATACAGTAGTAGGGACCCGCCAGGAGTAACCTGGGCAGATGAGATCCAGTCTGTGGGCTGGTATGTGCCAACTGCTGCCATGTGCGAGGTATGTGTGTCATTTGGGTTTTTTAATTACGTTTAAATACTGAGACGTGAAATAGCTCAGCTGATCAGTATGAAGAGGAAGTTCTCTCACTCACGCTCACTCGCGCGCGTACACACACACACACACACACACACACACACACTTTTTTTCTTCACAGCTATATCTTAGAGATTTTTCTGTCTTGGTATCAACCCTGTGTTTTGTTTGAAATTAGGCCACTAACTTACTTCGTGGTTTTAATGAACACATGTAGGAGCGCTAAGCCCTACGTTAGCAGTAAATTGAAAGCTGTGCAGTAGAGTTAAAGGTATCGTGCGATGTACTTTGGGTTGCAAATTGACTGGGATTTAATTTCTAAAACATTTAAAAAAAAGGTGCCTTTGTGTAGCCGCTTCCTTTATTCGTGCAATATTTTAGTTCTTAAGGCAATTTTGCAGTCTGGGTGTGTTTTCAGCACATCCGATAAATATCGTTGTGCTCCTATGAAGTTATCCATCCTATGTCATTAATACGCTTCTGTGACATTACTACTTTAATAAGCCTGTTTTAATGTAATATGCAGTGTCTGTGTTAGTAAAAATCCTCCCCGTTCCTAAAACATGCGTTGGCAATTAAATGTGTCAAATCCCCTTTTTATAGAGGGGAAATGTTTCTATTTTCATTGTTCCTGAGCCCTTGCAATTGGAATCTTTCTCCTTTTTTAAAATCTCCTTTTAGGAAAGTGTCAGATCAACATTTACATTAATATTTATCATGTTCTTGAATGTTAATTTTTTTTCGAAAGCGAGTTTTGACAATTTTCCATGATGAGCTGAAAAATGAATAGAGTGAAGCTATTGAAGAAAGAACTCAACTAATATAAGAGTGGTTAATCCTCAGATCGGTGTGGTGATTTAGTGAAGAAATGGCAAAATCAGTCCGAACGTGCTTCATTTCCGTTTAAAGAACCCCATGCTGTAGACCATGGGTTCTCAAACTGGGTGGGTGTGTGTGAAGAAATTCTGGGGGGGGGGTGCGAGGCAACCCAGTCCCCCCCACATCAGTCCTCCCCCCCTCCCCCCCAGTTGTGCTGCGATTTTTGTTTTTTGGCCCTGGTCAGTTGGTTTTTTTTTCCCCTCAACAAGTTTTACTGCTATTGGCGGGGGAGGGGCATGAGGTTTTCTCAAAAATCATAAAGGGGGCGTGATGCCGAAAATTTCGGGAACCACTGCTATAGCCTAACCACACTTGTGAAATTGGTGGAGCTGCTGCGTATGCCTTGATAAAGATTGCTGGATCTTGGGGCCAGAATCTTGCAGGATCTTGGTACTGCATTTTATCAAGGGTGTAGAGCAGTGGGAATTCAGTCCTTGCTTGACAGCCTCTGGACAATACTGCAGTACAAGTAATTAATAAATGAGACGTTTCTGGGGGAAGAAGTCACGGGTTCTCATTGACGTCAGCAGTGGTTGGATTTGGGTCTCTGCGCCTCACGCTGCTTTTTAAGCAGAACTTAAAGGGCAGCCATTATAAACCACCATTATAAACCACAGCAGCGGATTTGATTATTTATAGGATGAAGACTTGATTCTGAAAGGAGCTTTTTGTGAGTGTGTGTGTGTGTGTGTGTGTGTGTGTGTATGCACACCCATTTTCTATGCCAATAAATGCGTGCAGGACCTACAAAAGTGACTTGGTTTTACCAGCCAATCCGGTCATAAAATCCCAAGACTTAAAAATCATGAGACTTTGTCATAACCATGAGGTTTGGCCAGCAACCTGGGGACTAAGGGGTTAACTATGTCCCCTGTACCTAGCCAGGTATCTGATCAGCCAATGGTAAGGCAGATAGGGATTTCAAACTGAGACAAAGGAATTTTTAACTTTTCCCTCCTTTGTCTCTGAGCCAGTTTTGCTCTCTAGATACTGAGGGGGACAGAGCACATCTCTCTCCAAGAAAAGACTCTTCACCATCTGTAAGTAGGGCAAAGTCTAGATAAATCCATTAGGTTTTATTGTTTTCTGGTTGGGGAATTTGGACCTGAGGTCTGTGCTGGTAGAAGTGTTTTTTTCCTCTCCCTTCTGTAACTAAGTCCTGAGCCCATGGGAATCCCCCGTGAGTTTATTAATTTGTGACTCTTACCATCCCGTCACCTTAATCATGTTTGAAACTGTGATCTTGGTTTGGTAATTGGTTCATTTTTGTGTCCTGGAAGGTCTGTGTATATATCTACCTGCCTGACAGAGGCAGCCACAACACACTGTAGTTTGTTTTTCTCTTTTCTCTTTTTCAAGCTCTTTTTGGAAGAGAGCTTGTGGTAACCCAGGGGTTGGTTTCAAAAGTCCATCCCTGTTTGGGGGTTCAAAAGCACTTGATGGTGGCAGTGGATTCCCCCAAATCCAGGTATTAGGATTTTGGGGGGAGTTTTTGTACCAACGCCTGTAAAGATCAGGTTTTGGGGTTGCTTTTGAGGGGTTCCTGCTTCTGCATTCATCGTGCCAGAGTGGGGGAACAGCCTTGACAGACTTGAACTCCCTTCTTCTGCCCCCAAACCTCAATGATTTGGGGGGCACCAAGGACTAGAGTTCTGAATACAGCTGGGGATACCGTGAGGTGCCTTACTTCTAGAAAGCATGCGCTCAGAAAGTGAGGTTGCTAGTGACCTGTTATTTTGGGAGCCCTTGGGCGTATGTTAAATGCTTCTCTGCTCTGGCCGTGGTAGTGTCAGGCTGCCCGGTGCCCGATCCCTGCTGTGTATAGACCGTTTTGTATGCGTCGCATTGCCCAGACTTTTCTGACCGGGCTGTAGTCCTGCAGTTGTGTGGCTAGAGCCCCGGACTCGGATGGTGCTCCATTTGGTGTCAGGATCTGGCCGAATGCCTCTAGCTAGGATGACCATCCATCCTGTTTTTACTGGGACTGCCCTGTATTTAAGCCGCCTTCCAGGTGGCCCGACGCGTTGCTCCTTTAAAAAAAGAAAAATCCCGTATTTGCACGCCCCCTGCTGGTCCTTGAGTTTCCTGGTCAGCGCAGCTGCAGAGCCTCCTGTCTGTGGCAGGCGCTAAAACAGGCACCAGCTCGTGGTGTCTCAAGTCAGGCAGGGAGCCGAGGGAGAAACATAGAAAGAAAGCAGGTGGGAGCATCTTTCCGCCTGGTACACCCTAAAGAAGGGGGGAAGCCAGCCAGCTGAAGCCATGACCAATGGTGCCCCCCTCCCCGGGCTGAAACCCCTTTCTCGAGCATCTCCACCGCTGGCTGCCACCCTCGCCACCGGGCTGAAGCCCCATTCCCAGGCGGCCCTCACCATGGAGCTCAGCCTCCGCCCCATCCCGTTCCCCCACCCCCTTACTGTGGGACTGAGTGCCTGCAGCCCCCCCCTCCCCGGTGTTCCGTATTGGGCATAGGGAAATACGATCACCCTACCTCTAGCATGAGTTAAGACAGCAGTGGTGGCTGGCGGCAATGCCAACACAGCAGGAGAAACTCTGCCTTGGAATAGCCTTCTCGTAGCTAATGTGAATATTTGGTTTGGCTGAAGCCCATTCGTAGAACACTAGAACTGGAAGGGACCTCTAGAGATCATCAAGTCCAGTCCCCTGCCCTCACGGCAGGACCAAGCACCGTCTAGATCAGGGGTGTTCAAACTTTTTTCAAAGAGGGCCAGATTTGATGAAGTGAACATGCGTGAGGGCCGACCATTTTGCCTGACATTCTTTGAACCATTAAAATTAAATGCAAATTAACTATGTTATGCAAAGTTTATTGCAAACGGCATACTTTTCATTTCGTCACATGGATGACAAATCTAAACAGGTGTTAAATCACTCTGCCTTTCATATCTGAAGGCCAGATGAAAAAAAAAATCCAGGAAGCTGAAATATATGTCAGGAACATTGTAAAGTACATTACATATTATTGGTAATAAAGGTTGTCTGTCAACTTTTAAGTTCAAAAAATATGAACAGGAACATAACACCAAGTATACATGTTGTGTCCAAATATATTTATAACTGATTTAGACCAACTGACTTTAACTGAGATTTTACAATGTATTCATCTCAATACATATGGATTCGTTGGGGGCCATAAAAGATAGATATTGCCAAATTACCCGTGGGGCCATATTAAACCGGAACACGGGCCGGACTTTGGACACGCCTGTTTTAAACACTTGAAACCAACTCCTACCACTGTGTGCCCACCATGTCCATCCTTGCCTACCCAGACTGTCAATTCATCACACCCCACCCCACCTGCTGACCCCCGTTCGCCTTATTAT